ATTTCTTTTAAGCAAAGACAACAAACACTTAAACGGAGTCGTATTGGCAAAGGCGGTGAATGCTAAAACGGCGTCGTTTTGGTTGACTATGACGTCAGAAATCTGCCTCTTTTAGATGTGCTAGGAAATGCCAACTGATCAGTGTAATTCACGAAATTCAGTCTGTGTGACAAATCGAAGGCTCTCAATATTCTCTAGCGATCATTTCTCTCAAAACTTCATCTCTTTATTTAAGGTTTCATTTTACGGTCAAGAAATAATGGTCTGTTCTCTTTACTATTTTCAGGTTATTTTCAGTTTTCGAAAACATTGAAAACATGTTTACTTACCTATTTTCAGAAACGAATTTCCAAAAACGAGTTTAAAATTTACAAAGAAAACAGAAAACGCCAAAAAAAATCGTTTTTACTGTTTTCAGTTAAAATCAAGTCAAAACTTCATTTTTTTTTTTTTGAAAACAATTTTTCAAAATGACAAAAAGAACGCGTTTTCAGCCATCTCAAAATGGACACTCAAAATACAAAACTCAAAATGAATTCAAAACTGAAATACGAAGAGAACAATCCCAAGTGTTATGTAATTCTTTTTGTGGTTGAAATCATTGAATAGAAGGGCGAGTTTACATTCGAAGTGAACATTAATTTTAGAATAACCTTACTTGTACATAACGAAGTTACATAATGATTTATATACAAATAAGGTGTCAAAAGGAGAATGTGATTTTTTTTTTATTTGATTGAAGAGATTTTGATCTAATAAAATCTCACAACATCATGTGTATATAAATTATTATGTTTATGTAAAGGTGTTCGGAGTTTTTCATCTGGTTTTGAGATTGTTCGTTGACTCTATGGTGTCCTTGGTGGATTCCTTTGTAGCCCACAACATCGTGAGTTCTTTTTTTTTTTCCTGGCTGGGCGCTGCAGCGCCCTGCTCTCTGCTGATTTTTTTTCGACATTCACTACAAAAAAAAAGAGCTCCAGCGACTAATCCTTCAGCGACCACAAATATTTGGTCGCTGTAGAGCACTATCACCGACCACTATGTGGTCGGTGAAAGGGGTTGGTCTACTAAAATGGAAATTTTTTTTTTTACTCTTCAGCGACCACATTTTGGT